CAACCTTAGTTTGTTGAACAATTGTAGGAGGAACTGTGGAAGGAGTCAAAACAGCTTGGGGAGGAGCAACAACAGCAACAGTCACGACTGGAAAAGAAGGTATCGCAGGAGCAGATATAGAAAGAAGCAAGGGGTGTTTCATCAGAAATTGGTCCTAAACTTTCACTACCAAACCCGCGGATAAAAAGCTGTTCAATAGAATCATGGGCAGCAGCGGGAGTATCATCGTCGAAAATCACCAACGAGGCTTCAACAGGCTCGGTGAGAGGAATAAAACGAGGGGGAGATGCTTCATCATCTGAAATAATTCTTCTTCTAGCCCGTGGTCTTTTTATCAAAGAACCCCCGTCTTGTTCTTCCTCCTCCTCAGAGTCTTGATCAACAGTAGCTTTCCTTTTCGATGAAGAACCTAAAATTATCTCTTGGGCCCTTTCCAAAGAAATTCTGGAAGCTACGACGGCCTCAGCACTTATACCTCGAATGGGAAATCCTGACAAAAAGAAGGGTTAAAATAATTTCTGGAGGAAGCAATAAGTAAAGTTATAAAAAAAAAACTCTTATCGTGAGTTTTCACTTTCCAACCAAATCGATGAGAGAGAGTTTTCCAAGATCTGCCCTCCATCGGGGCGGCATATAACAACTTTTCTACCCAACCACGGAAATTGGGAATCTCATCGACAATTCCCATGGTTGCTAAAAGAAAAAAAAGGAAAAGAAGGAAATTAAAATGACAATCATCAGAATTGAGAAAAAGGTACGAGAAGGTTATTAAAAAAGAAAAACTCACGTGCAAAATTCCACTTCTCAGAAAAGGGAATATTTTCATCACCCACTAAACCAACAGTGGGGGCAGCAACAAACCTGGCATACCAGCCACGGTCTTTATCGTCTTCTGGACTAACCAGAACTCTTTTACTTCTTGCTACTAAAGTAAAGATTCTTTGGCGAAAGAGTTTGGGAGAGTAAAGGTGAATTAAATGGGAGAAAGTAAAAGGCACACCAGCCATATTGGCCAAATACCTCAAACAAGAAACAACCCTCCACACAATAGGGCCAATTTGTCCTAAACAGACGTCGAAAAAACGACAGAATTCGAGGATAACAAGGTCAATAGCAGGTTTGCAACCCAACGTGAAAGGGTATGTATAAACAAAAGAAAACCCAGTTAAATAAAAGGTGATTCTTTGGTTCGCATTGGGGATTATAATGGGGAAGTCATGGCTCCAGTAACAGTCCCTACGAACTACAGAAATTAAATCTTCAGTAATCTGAGTCGGATAAATGTCAACACGTTCTAATGAAGACATAGAAGAAACTTGATTTCTAATGGATTCTCTATCATTGTAAAAAGATAGTTCACAGGAACAATCTCATCTACAGTAGGTTCACGAAGAGACTCGGCAGGTTCTTTACTTCTCGATGAAGACCTTTGAGAAAGGGAGCCTCTGGTTCTAGAAGGGGGGGTGGAACTGGTCGAAGGTAGAGAAGAACCTCACGCAGACGAAGAACCTAGATTACGAAGTCTACCTCCTCTCTTGTTCCTAATAGGAGCAAGAGGAAGGTTATCGACAATTGGGACTCTCCTAGGGTAAGGGTTTGACGAAGACATAATAGTACGAGGAAGAAGGAAACAAGAATTGAATATTCTGAGAACTTTTTGTGAGAAAGACAAAGGTGAAAACTATATTTATACTTAGAAACAACCGTCAAAGGAAAAGGTGCAATGATGGAAACGTCATGATGAGAACTGTCGTTTTGTAATTGGTGAAGCCGTAAAAAAGCCTTAAAAGACGCTGAAAAGTCGCAGAACCAATTAGAAGATGCCACGTGTAACGGACATTAAATAGAAGTGACAAATGAAGCATCAGTTCCAGAGGAGAATTAATGGCGGCAAATATTCCCGCTTTAATAAAATCCACTTCCCAAATATTCTATTGATGAATAAATGGCAGGTGGGGGGACTATCTGTATTGGGAAAAATTGAGTTCATAAATGTTGAATTGATTGAAAGATGACATGTCATGACACGTACACTGGTCAAAGAATGGCGATCAGCAAAGAATAATCAAAGAGGCATGAGTTACAACAGACACGAGCAGAGATTCAAGAGACTCGGTGCTCGCACCTCTTTATGTTCAAAAGTCAAAGATAAGAGAATGAACCTGATAGCAAAAGAGGGTACGGATACAGTATTTAATAGGCATTAATTACTGAAAACGTTAGAGAATCTGTATTGAATTACAATGATTACCATTTATAACGTAGCATTAAATGCCATTAATTGTCTACAATGGCCTTATTATGACAGAAGCAAAACATATCACCTAGAAATAGCTACAAAAGGGGAAGCCTGATCATTTGTAAAGACATGAAATACTATTGGAATACACTGATTTACTTTGCTTTCTATTCAACTATTCTTTATATCAATTATTCCTATTTCTGTTTGATTATCAGTAACCCGAGTTCTTCTAAAATAAGCTTTGGCCGAAATCCCAATTTTTGGTTAAACAATATATATATACACACACTGAAAAATTTAAGTTTTTTCCCCCAGTAAAAGCCAAATGGAGCCCAAAATTGGTGGATAACAATATAAGGCCTTCAATATTCTTTTACCTTTACTTCTTATGAGGGTTCAAACATTGTGCCTGAGACCAATTAGTCCATTTGTGGACATCAAAAAAAGAAGGCAACAGCGGAAAGAGAAAGGTAAAATGAATGACTCTTATCGTTTGGATGCTAAAAAACCACAAGGGAAAATGAAAGTAGTTTTCCTTAAATAAGTTTGTGCTATGTTATCTTTACTTGGATGTCAAACAAATTTGCTTGAATTCTCAGTTCTTATGTTTACAGTTTAATTTCTTCTTTTGCCTTTTTGACACATCATTCATTTGGGCTTCGGCAGCTGGGTTCCCATTGAATTATCAAGGCCTAAAGCTCATATGACTCCTGCAATCCATAGCTTGATCCTCTTGCATTTTGCAACTTTATTACTATCTAATAGTATTAGCTAAGATCTTTAACTTCAAAAATATGGTTTAAGAAGAACAAAAGCTAGTGCCTTCATCATTAATATTTTTCTTTGGGCCATTCCACATCCAAGATTATATGGCTGACATGCAAAAACGGAAGCTTGGGACCCAATAAATACAAAATTGGTGGTACAGCCGAAACTAATTGCATTCACTAGATAAAAAGTGTGTAAACTATATATATATTTTATGTATATAATACACATCTATACACAAAATATATATTTTATCGGCTATTATTTTAGGAACGGCTAAAAATATACATTTCTCCTAATACAAATTAGTTAGCATTTCTTCGTTACCATAGTTCTGTACAGGGATAGCTCCAATCATGGCATGTGACCGTCAAACTAGGTATCTTATGTACGTATTTTTTAGAATTAGTCTAATATTATCTGTTGGCACGCATAGTATAAAATATTGAATGGTATACTTGGTTGAATATTGGGTTATTTATCCTGAGGGATAGAGATTGATTTCTACTTANAACATTCATGGAATATAATGAAATTCCAGTTTTTTAATAGAATATATAATCAAGTCAATCATGTTTGATCTACTTCCATTTTTTCCCCAAGGTAAAATGGTAATGACACCACTATTACGTGCTTCAGGATACTATGTAATTCATTCTTTTTGGCTTTGTGGTAAGAATAAGAACTTCCTCGTTGCAATCTTATGCTATAGCGTCTAAATCTCACCAATGACCTTTCACTTCTCTTATTATTGGGCCATTACTTTTACTTCCATCTGATATTATTTTTTAAGGTATTCATTTACATCTTCAAAAGGCCATGAAAAAAAAAGGACAAAACCCGTCAAAGGCATGGATTGCCACTCTTTTCCCTTCTTTCCTAACCACTACCATATTATACTCTACTACACAATTTTTTCTAGGGGAATTACCAGCTATGTCCATTTATAAGTAGCTCATTATAAAAATTGGTCAATTGATAAAATATTACTAATATTAGCCAAATTAGCCAATTAGCTATTTGAAGCAAAAAAATATCAAATTTTTGCTTTGTTTTGAGTGGGTGTTATTAGAATAGATTGGGCACAACTTAAGGAGCTTGAATCTCAGTTTTGGGATGATTTGGTGAAGTTTTGAGGTGGTTTGAATTGAAAATTCGAAGTAAAAGCTAACATGAAAAAATATTATATGTGTATCACACTGTGTATCATTTGTGTATCACATATGTTATCATATTGTATCAATTGTGTATCACATGTATATCCATGTATACCTGTGTGTGAGATACATGCGTGATACATGTTTGATACATGTGTCGCAGAAGACTTTTTTGACTAATACTCGATTTAATTACCAATTTTTGATAAAAACCAGTCCAAATCACCTCCAATCTTCCTCAAATTTTGTATATTGACTTATCTATATATTTTCAATGAATTCAACTATACCCATTGAAAAAGTTCCTTTTTTGCTTAGATTTTTGGAATATTGTATAGATTTTTGTATTTCATCACCTTATTTGCTACCCCGTCCATGAAATTTCCTTTCCATCTTGTATCTAATGTTGCTAATCACGACTTAAAAATATGGAAGGTGATTTTTGCATGTGATTCTTTGATAGAAAGAATCCTATTATTTGGTGTTTCAATTTTTGTTGGCTAGTTTTGGTAAGTCTATGACTAATGGCTAGAGGTTGGTAAGTTGAGATTTATTTGGGACATTTTTGTAAATTTTCCTTTTTTCTATTTGTGGTATGTAGGGATTGGCCCTTTAGGACTTTCAGGGGTTAAGCCCATTGGAAAAGGACCCACTACCCACTCACTCAAGGGTGGTCCAACCGCAAATCTGGCTCTACCTCCACCAGGTGTTCGTTCAACAACATACGGCGAAGCCCCCCTACCTAACACACCTCTAAACCTTCCAATACTCCCATTCGGCGTTAATTAATTACTACTTAATTGATTGATTAATCTTGGAAACGTAGCAGTATTATGACACCGCAATTCAAATTACTCTACTATTAATGATCTTGAATCCTAGTGATTTCATTCACTATCTAGCTTCAAGTTTGCATTCCACGAATTAGAATTTCATTGATCTTGTTTCTTTTTCTAATTTACCTATTTCAGATTATATTGCACGTTATCGTTTTATAATAATATTTTAATATTAAGATGTTATTACCAATCTATTCTAATTGTATCATTGTCTCATCCCTACTGTTGTCCTGTTGAACCTTTCTAAACTTTTTCATATAAATATTTACTCTAGCAGTTCACGAAGTTGAAATAAAATTATGAAGGAGGCATAAGGGAAGTGCATTCTTTATTTGAAAAATTAGTATTTGAGAAAGAAAAAAAAGAAAGAAATGAACGAATTACATTAACTAATTAACTAATTAAAGCAGTCGAATAAAAGTCAGATTTTGCAGGTTCACTTTTCGTGCCTCATTTCCATCGATCTCTGCTTATTGCCGTAGCCGCCGCCAAAAAGAACCTGGACTCAGTACACTGTCACCGTTAAATTTGCGGTTTTCAATAACTTTGAATTTTGAGTATATCATTGATTCAGGTTAAGGTTGAAAGCTAAAAACTAGGCGGATCTCGATCTTATATGGCTTCTGAGGATGTGAAGGCGAGCGAATCAGCGGTGGAGAAATTTGTGAATCTCGCTGAAGAGGCGAAGCTAGCTAGACAAGACATTAGGCCTACAAGCCATGCCGTTATCAGTATCTGCAAATCACTCGTCGCCGGAGGTGTCGCCGGTGGCCTGTAAGTTTATACATCACTGAACGTTGAACATACTCTAGAAACTTCCTAAGCATTTTGTCTTATATTTGGAGTAATTTCATTATTGTGAATTATGGAATGTAATTTTAACATTAGTTCACGTCATAAATAAAGTCAGTTAGAAACTTAGAATGCATGAATTTGATGGACTCAATTTCAAGCTCGCACTTGATCGAGGTTTATGCTTTTATCCGTATTTATAATTTTGGTTTTTAAGATTTGCTAATCTAATCAGTGTTCCATCAGTATATGAGGTATTCATGACTGTTATTCGCCACTTGATCACATGATTTGACGAGTGTAGTATTGAAAATTTTGTTTTATTTTTTTGACTGACATGTGTGAAAGAGTCTTGAGTGTTCCGGCATGTCATTGATGTTTTGACACACTTATCTCAAACAGAGACTTTGATGAGATTGTAGTGTTATATGCTTCTTAACTCGGATGACTGAACTGTGTGGTTTCTACTTCCTGGGAGTGATAACAGGGGCCTATCTAGCCTTATAGTACCGGGTTCATTTGAACAGTATTTTCGTAGTCGAGCATAATTTATGTGTAAAAATTTATTAACTTGCAACAAATAGTAGATATGAACCCATAACTTGAGAAATATAATAAGTTCAATGCTAAAAGATTTAGAGATTGAACCCATAGAGTTTAAAATCCTAAAATCCGCCCCTGAATGGTGACTGCCAACTCTTTAACGAATAAAATTATGGATCTCATAGACCTGTATGGAGAGTATGAGCGAATTTCTGGATAGATTATTGTTTTGAGTTGGAGAGATGTGTTAAGATACTAATTTGAAATTTAAAAATGGGGAGTAGTTAGTTTAAAGGCATCACATCAAGTTTATGTGATACTTATGAAGTAATATCCTCTCCATCCATTTGATGTGACATCATTTTACAGGTTATAATGTTATTTTAGTTTTATGGATGAAACATTACTTCAAAGTGTAAATTGGTTTTGCTAAATGTGCTTGAATTCTATGAATATGAAAGTTGTATGAGCGAATATATTATTTTTGTAAGACGAAATATTTTGGGGTGTCCAAAGTAAGATTTCCATTGTGCAGAGGTAGTAATAACTTCTGCTAGTTTGAATTGCATGAAGGAAGTTTTGCATTGAAGAAAATAAGTCAGTTTTTGAGACGAACAAAGATGGAACAAAGGTCCATTTTACTTATACTTCTGTATTAATTAGCCTTCAACATGCATAATCTTTCAAAGCTTGTGAATCCGAACCTCTTTATAAAAGTGTGACTCCTTCACCGGAAGCATAATCTCAAAGTTTGAGATATCTGACTAGGTTGTCCGCCGCATAGTAACAACATCAGCAGACATAGTGTAATCCCACAAGTGGGGTCTGGGGAGGATAGTATGTACGCAGACCTTACCCCTACCTTCAAGAAGGCCTGCCGCATAGTATCTAGCAAAATCTTATTTGTGCTGGATATTGCTACATTGAGTTCCATCATCCATGTGATATATGAGTGCTTGAACATATTCTATTTTCCCTGAACTTTGACTTGATTCTGCACTTACTAGTACTCTCCTTATCCTGCAGGTCCCGAACTGCTGTTGCCCCACTGGAACGGCTAAAGATATTGCTCCAGGTGAAGTCTAGTTTCATGCTTTCAGTTTCTGCTCTATTCAATGGTTTTGCCGAAAGAGGAAAAATATAAACTAACTTTGAACATTCTTTACTTATTTGAATGAGCACTGTGACCATACTTTAATTTGTAATTACTGGATCAAATTCTGTTCCTTTTGAAGGTTAGGATGGTTAAACCTTTTTTCCGAACATGCATTTTCTTTGAAAGAGTCTAATCTTTTGTATCTCAGGTACATTTATCATTGCATTTAAGGGGTTTTTTCATCTAGTCTCCTAATTTTAACAGGATGCTTTCTGATGTGCAGGTTCAAAATCCACATAGCATAAAATACAATGGGACCATTTCAGGCTTAAAATATATCTGGAGAACTGAGGGGTTCAAAGGACTGTTCAAGGGCAATGGCACCAATTGTGCACGTATCGTCCCAAACTCAGCAGTCAAGTTCTTCAGCTATGAGCAAGCCTCCAAGTATAGTCATAACCGATCACTATGCAATTTTTGTAACTCAGACTTGTTTCTCATGTTACCCTTAAAATCAAATATCTGGTATCTATTCCCTCTATTGACTTCTTCATTGATATTGTAACAGGGGTATACTATATCTTTACCAGCAACAAACTGGCAATGGTATGTCTATCTTTCTTTTGGGTTGTTTAGTTCTCATGTGTATTTTTTTTGGTTTTACTATTGGGGCATCCTCCAATGATTTCTTTGTAGACGAGCTATGAGATTCCGTTTATGAAACCAACTGTAGAAAGAAAACAGATATCTGTAAAACTTTTAGCATCGTTCTTTTCCTACTACCTGTGTAAAACTTTAAGCACAGTCTTCTTCGGATATGTAAAAAACTTTAAACACAGTTCTTTTCCTACTATCTCTATAAAACTTTAAGCAGTCTTTTCCTACTGGATGAAACGTTACTTAAGTTTGGGCTCGTACATGTTTTTGTTAAGTTCTGTTTTTCTCCTTTCACGCTACTTCTAGTCCAAGTTCATTTCCTGCTAATGTATGTTTGGTTGTTAGTCATGAAAAGAATACTCTTATACGTTGGTCGTTACAGATGCTATGTTTTATTTAGCAATGGGATATATCTGTAGTTCTGTACTCTCCTTCTCCTTGTTGCTATGCCTGCTTATTATTTTGTCTGAAAAGGACCATGGCCTGGTGGGAGATAAAAGTGCAATCTGTTCTAGTGCGCAAATTCGGGTTCTAGTTGCGGGCAGCCACTTCGTGCAAAATGAGCCGGAGGTTGGGTCTGTACCTAGTTCAACCCTTCCAGCACCCTGGATTGAGGGGCCAAAGCTGGGTAATGGCTATATACTCGCCAATATTTTCTTTTCCTTGTAGTGGATGACCCTTTTGGAAGAAACTTTTCTTTCAGTTTGTCTTTCAGTTATGCTTGTCAAGAATCATCCATTTAAAAGAAGATAGAATTATTAAGATAAGAAAAGAGGAAGTAAATATTGGTTATGCCCGATCATAAATGCTTGCTCTCCAATTTATTTGCGTGAGCTTATTTCTTTTCCAGGATTCTACTATTTTCTAGTGCTTCAGCTTATCAATATAGTTTATCTTTGCAACAGGCCTTATATTAATCTCATTCGACCATTTTAATTCAGAGTAAGCAATATTACCCCACAACACATACAGTTCAAGATGTTGTTAAATCAAGTCAAAACATCAGCCGAGTCAGCAAAAAATAAACCTGACAAAATTCATATTTCAAGGCAAATCTGGATTTAGGTTAGAGTATATGCATCCTCATCCTGATCTATCCATAACTTCAGTTGCCAAATAAGGTTTTAAAGATTAGAGCTTTTCTCCTTCAATGCAATTCAGTTTTGCCTCCATGTGCTGCCTGTGTTCACTACTGGATTTTCTAGTAGCCGTGCAGTGTAAGTCCTACTAGGCAAGCAGCCTGATTGACTGCCAAAGCTCAAAAGACATTTTCAAGCCCCATATTGTGAGCATTTACTTGCTAGAGTATTCTGCACCTACCATGCTCATTTGACATGGTAGGCAAAAGATCATCTGATAAAGTTCTTTCTAATGTGTAAGTAAATGAAGATTGTCTGATGGTTTTGATGTGTCTTTTGTGCACATAAGAAGTCATACTATGCTAGTATTTAGAATAAATGAAAAAGGAACAGAAAGCTATCCCAAGAATTTTGCATCAATTGGACTGACATCTTCCTTTTTCCACAGAGGACGCTCAGCTCACTCCCATACTACGTCTTGGAGCTGGAGCTTGTGCTGGCATAATTGCCATGTCTGCAACTTACCCAATGGACATGGTGCGGGGCAGAATCACTGTGCAGGTAATTTATGAGTTCTTTGGAAGAAATATTGCCTGTTCTGATGTTCTGCATACCGTGCTGTGCATATGTAGCACTCTGCTGATACGCCTTTCTTGAAAATCCTCTTTCCTGCTCTGCAGACAGAGAAGTCTCCTTATCAGTACAGAGGAATGGTCCATGCCCTATCCACCATACTTCGTGAGGAAGGTCCACGTGCTTTGTATAAAGGATGGCTTCCTTCCGTGATAGGAGTCGTAAGTCTTGCTTTCCTGAATTTATAAGTGATTGCAAGTTTCCTACTAAATTGTTAACCATGTTCAAACCATCTTCATGGAATGAATCTCCAAATGTAAAGTTGTTTATGAGGTTGAAAATACTTGCAATAATAAATAAGCATACTCTAATGTTATTTATATATTTAGTTGCACAGTTTCAATCCAAAAACATGATGCTTCAAAGCTTGTTGAGAAGAAGAAAATGAAATGTTATTGTCTTTTAGAGGTGTTACGAACTTTATCCACCAGTTAATTATACTGTAATCCAAAATACTCCTGGCTAGTGCTGGCAAAATGAGCCCATATTTTTTCAACCCGCCCAATCCGCCCATATTTTAGTGGGTTGGATGAGTGGTATTTAAGTTGGGTAATTTGGGCTTCAGCCCATATTCAACCCATAGAAATATGGGTATTCATGGGTAAAATGTGGGTAAAATATGGGTTAGCCAATTGGGTTATCTTCCAACTTTTGCTCACTCAAAATACATGATATCATTTTTCAAAACCAAAAATGCTATAAAGGTATTCCAACTCCTCTTCCTTCGTCTTTTCTTTTACCTCCCAAAAATGAATTTTTATATTAGACAAAATGTAATATAAGTTACTTTCCTACTATCTAGGATATTTATATCAATTAAAACTTGGTTATTAAATTGTACCTTATTGAATTAGGTAGAAAGTATTTAGTAGTTTAAAATAATTGAAATTTTACCGTGTAAAAGTCAATTAGGAAAAAGTTAGTATCATCTCAACTTGTTTTATAGGAGCTCTAATTAATCTACCAAGTAAGAATCATTTACTATAAAAATACTTTATACAATATAAATGCAATAGGTAAATAAGAGAGATAGTATGTAAATTGTTTCGTCTATATATATAACAATTTCATTTTACGTGGCTACCCATATACACCTGGTAATAAAGTATAAATATGATATGGTTTGTAATATTACCTTGCATATTATGTCCATGAAGGAATCTTAGGGTACCCTGTTAATTAAAATTACATATTATCTTATTCAATATTGGCGCTAAATTATTACTATTTAATAACACTTATTTTCACTTTAAATTATCACTTAATTATGATAAATTAGTATAGTTTAATATTTGTATATTGACGATGATTCTTTTTTCTTTTCAATATATTGACAGATGACTAGCTTCTATACACCACTTTCTTTTCTTATTGACTTAGTTATACAGAATCAATATTTCTCATTTTCAGCAACTTACACTTTTATTTTATAACTTATTATAATTTTTGGAATTATATTTTTATACTTTTAAAATTTTTTTACTCACTTAGAAAAGGTACACGCGCAACGTGCGTACCTATAGACTAGTGTGACTAAATAATCTAAGCAAAAGGAAATTATAAATTGCACTAAAAAAATATTACACTTATATAATATGGGTTAACCCATATTCAACCCGCCCATTTGACACCCAACCCATTTTTGACCCACATAAAATATGGGCGGGTTAAGACCCAACCCATTTTTACTTAACCCACTTTCAACTCGCCCAAATCCGACCCAACCCGCCCATTTGCCACCACTACTCCTGGCAAAAGTTTAAAAATGCCTTCTCGCAGTAGTTTAAAAATGCCTTCTCCCTGAATAGTGTGACAAAAAAGGAAGAGGAAAGAACATGCAACACAAATAGAGTGTTCTTCTGATTCTTGTGAAAGTTCATAATTTAATTGGTGTTTGCAGATTCCATATGTGGGACTTAACTTTGCAGTCTATGAATCTCTAAAAGACTGGTTGGTCAAAACAAAACCACTTGGTCTCGTTGATGATTCTACTGAGCTTGGTGTTGTTACAAGGCTGGCATGTGGGGCTGTGGCAGGGACTGTGGGGCAAACTGTTGCTTACCCTCTTGACGTTGTACGCAGAAGGATGCAGATGGTGGGTTGGAAAGATGCTTCATCCATCCTTACCGGTGATGGGAGGAGCAAGGCTCCCCTTGAATATTCTGGCATGATTGATACTTTCAGGAAAACTGTTAAGTATGAGGGCTTCAGGGCCTTGTATAAGGGTTTGGTGCCCAATTCAGTGAAGGTTAGTCTTGTTTCCATACCTTGTACCTTTTTTTTTCTTCATTGAGACTTGGTTGAATTTTATTAGTTTCTCTTCTTTAGGCACATAGAATTGGCTTCCTTTTTGTTGCAATTTTGCTTATATAGGAAACTTTTGCTCTTGGTGAGACATTATTTTATTCGTTACTATGCTCGACCGAGTAGATGATGTCATCTTTTACTTATCAAAACCTCTACATTACATATCCTTAATTGATAAAAGTTAGTTGTTGGTCTCCAATATCTGACACTCTCATTATATTGGCAGTAATCAAATTTCAGCTTCTCTTTTTCTCCCATAATCATTCTTAAATACTGTGTGTTTCTACTTGGGACCAATTGGACCAGCCAACATAATATTTAATGGTATTCCTGGAGGAGATATCTGCGGTGTAAAAACCTCCATTTGAGTTGTGAAATAGTTGGTCCGTGCATAATTAAAAGTACACTCTGACATCACAAGCTTTAATACTTTCTCTACTACTTGTTGGCAGTATTGCTGTGCTTCTTGTAAAGCATGGAACTATCTTCTTAATACCTGATTCTTTTTGGACTAATAATAGCTTTAACTTATCTACTACTATGATAGTTCCCTTTTATAATATATTTCAGCATCATTCCTAACTGTTCATTATTTGTTCAGGTTGTCCCTTCAATAGCTATTGCTTTTGTGACATATGAGCAAGTGAAGGAACTATTGGGAGTTGAGATCAAGATATCTGACTGATGAAGACAAGCTCCAATTTGTTCCCTGCATATGATAATTTTGTAGGCAAGGATAGATAGAGTGATTAATAATGTGGCAGGTTACACCATTTAAACAGAGCATTAATGCTTCTGTTCTAGCTTGTGACGGAAAATTTAGGATCTTCTAGTTGTGTTGATAATTCCCCTTAGGTTATCTGCTTGTTGCTTATCTGATGTTTGTTGCCAATAAGCAACTTATCAAGAATAGTGGAATGAATAATTTGAATACCTTGCTATAGCGAGTGAAAGAAAGCTCATAGCTGGTGCCTTTTGTTAATCCTGGTCTCCATGCAACCAAAGCTTTCTAGTCTTTGTCAGTTCTCAACTATTTCTGTTTTTCTTTGGGTAAAGTTTGAATAGTTTATGTAAGAAGGGTACTCACTAGCATCATCTGCTAATGCTATAATATTAGTCTCTTCAATAAACATGCCATTTACTGGTACGTTGTTTAATGTGACGCAAAAGAATTGGTTATATGTATATAGTCCAGAGAGTAGAGAGCTGCATTTTCCGTGCTCAGTAGCGTTTTATTGGAAAATTGGCGAAAAGAATTTTGTGCAAAGTTGTAATTTCTATGAACTTCGAAAACCTCCGTGACAGAAAGTTATTCATTTTTTCAAAGCTAGTAAGTTTTTCCCTTGACGTCGGGAAGAGTTTGGTTTTTCTTTTATTCTTTGTTTTTTGGTTTCCCACCTGTTGTCCGGTACCTGCTTGAAGCTCGACTATATTCGGATTCATACCCAAGACTCGAACCCGAGACCTCTGGTTAAGGGAAGAGCAGCCCCATCCGTTGCGCCACATCCTTTGGTGGTAAGTTTGGTTTTTCTTGAAACACAACCAAAACAAACTAAGTTATGAAAAACTGTTTATATCATTTTGCTACCAAATGCCTATCGCTGCCGCAAGGAGAAACGAACACAACCAAAACAAACTAAGTTATGAAAAACTGTTTTTATCATTTTGCTACCAAATGCCTATCGCTGCCTCATAAAATAGGTGGTCGTTGGGATGTTTTTATGTATAATGGATGAAAGGCAAATGATGTGCCGAAGGAGAAACGAAAAAAGATGATGAGAAAAGCAAATTTTGTTCATTGTTAACAAATCGAAATGGGCATTTGAAAAAATGAGAATACATCAACTTTGTTTCAACTAGTACTCTTTAATATGAACTCTCTCTTCCCAAACAAATACAGTACATATTAAGGTAGCTTCTAGGGGTGTTCAAACCGAATCGGAAAACCGGATCAAACCGAAAAATCAAACCAAGTCAATTAAAAAATCCGACTAGGTTTGGTTTGACTTGGTTTGGTATTGAGTAAAAAAAACCCGAATCAAACCGGCATATAAATATATAAATTTTATTTATATTTTTAAGATCTTATATCGAATTTTCTTTAGAAAATGTAGAAATATTTGGGATCCTCTCATGTTTTAACCTTGAAAGTGTACGTTAACGAACAACTATTGTTAGACGACTAAGAAAATAACTATCATGTGTTACTAAAAAAATTCTCCCATTAGAATATTTTAATAGATCATATGTTTGTCAAATTTTTCAATATTTACTAAACATATATTCACTTATCAAAGCTTTATCTATAATTTTAACAAAGTAAGATGAAATAATATTAATGTAACAAAAAAACCCGAAAATCCGACAAAACCGAACCAATCCAAACCGATATAGTTGGTTTGATTTGGTTTTGATAAAAACCGAACCAACCCGGTCCATGTACACTCCTAGTAGCTTCTATGGCCATTGGCCTGCTGGAAAAAAACCTCTGTTGGTACGTTCTTGCTTCTAGCTTTAGTCAATGTTGCTTTCTTCACATTCTTCTATTATGCCTGAACGAAAAACAAGAACGAGAAATCATCTTATGGCACATTAAACGGACTACTGCTCCAAACTTTAAGAAATACTAACGAATTTACAGTATTAATTATGTACTCTTTACATCCTAAGAGGGAATTACCAAGAACTAACAAAGTATGTCTATAATAATGAATCATAGAGCCAGTGGCGGACCAATGTGTTATAATAAAGGGTCATCGGATCCCGTAAGCTTCGGCAGAAATCCTATATACGTATATCTATATACCTTAAAAATGGTTAATTTAAAGTACTTGACACCCTGAATACTAAAAACCTTTAGGGGCACTGGTTTAAAAATGGTTAATTTAAAGTACTTGACACCCTGAATACTAAAAACCTTTAGGGGCACTGATTGAGCAGAATAGTGTACCCCGTCGTCAAAGGCGTCTTAATAAAATTCGTGGCCTAAAGTCAAATTTTGATAAGGGGCCATATTTGCTTTTGGTCTATAGTATAGTTATCTTGTAAAATATAGTATTATTATTATATTGGTTTCTTTTTTTATCTTTTTTTAATCTATTGTGTAGTTATCTTATAAAATATAATATTAATATTCAAATTGGTAAGAAAATTCAAGTTAATAAGATGTTACCGACTTATTTATAATTCGTTACCTTGAATTTTATTGTCAAAAATATTATTTATCAATATGAAGATTTGAGTATCTTAATTCAAAGTTCTAAAATATTTATATTGTTAAAAAATAGATAATCTTTCTTTCCATTTTTATAAGAAATTTGTACTTTCTTTTTCGTTTTTTTATAGACTTCAATATTGTCTAAGTGAAGCAAATGTTTTACTAGCCTCCCCTTGAGCCACCCCTGCCCGTCGTATAAAAATCCTGATAGAGCGGCCGTCGTATAAAAATCCTGATAGAGCGGGAGGGGAAGATGTTCATCCCAGTTTGATCAGTTTGTTGGCAAATCAAGTAAAAAACTGGTTAACTCTCCTTGTCATATAACATGAGACCAAAGAGAGTAACAATTTTAGGGTTCTTACCTGCAATCTCTAATCTTGGTCGAGAATCTTTGAATCTCTGGTTCAATGTTCTTGTATTTCTTGATTCCACCCCGTTTTCTGGAACGTAGATCAGAAACAACTTTATGTTCTTGGTGAGCTTTGGCATTTTCATTAATCTCCAGCGCCTCAAAATCAAGTTCTTCAGATGATAATGAAAGGTATGAGATGATTTGAATGAGATTCAGCTCTGCAAGAAATATTGTCCTTGCATTCTCATCCCTATGATCTTCCTCTGTATCCACCAACTCTTCTTCTAGCTCCATTCCCATGGTTGCAGATTCAGCCATTTTTTCTCTAATTTTACAAATATAACTACTGCAAGCAAAAACAGTGTAATGATTTATTGTGCATCAATAAACAGAATAATTAAATAGAGCACAAAATGCATAATTTTTTTTTTACCTTCTTATTGAGTTTCCAACGAAAATATGCTTTTCTTGTTGTTGTGTGTGTTACGAGATTTTGGAATTATATTTAAAATGAATGAGGAGGACGTTGCATATATATAGGAGTACAATCAGTGGGTGCTAATATATGGTGTCAACTTTGTTTTAACCATCCACCCTTTTTTGATGTAACAGTAACCAGAAATTGCTGTATAATAGGCAAATGTTTGGCTAATAGATAGGGCATGTGTTTAACAAAACAAATGGAATTTCGATTAAAGCTTATAATTTAGAAGAACGCGGGTTACTAATAATCGAAAGAATGTATAAAAGAAAGCAATTTGGATAGCAAGAATATAATCAAGAGAGAAACAAGTAAACCAAAGTATATTCAGATAGTGTCTCGTGTCCATACAATTGATGAGTTATCTCCCTTTTATAGCTATTTGAGAGATATGCGTTTTGCCTTTGTCATAATAAGGCTATTATGGGCAGTTTAATGGCATTAAATGCTACGTTACATAATCATTATATTTAATACAGATTCTCTAACGTTTTTAATATTAAAGGCTCATTAAATACTGTATCTGTACCCCTTTGTATTGTCAGGTTCATTCTCTTTAATTCTTGAACTTAAATAGGTACGGACGCTGAATCTTCCGCATAGCTGCTCGTGCCTCTTTTCATGCCTCTACTCGTGCCTGTTGCAACTCGTACCTCTTTGCTAATCATAATTCCTTGATCGATCCACGTGTCATGACATGTCATCTTTATATGTAAACTCAATTTTTCCCAATACAGATAGTCCCCCCACTTGCCATTATTCATCGATTGAATATTTGGGAAGTGGAATTTCTTTTAAAGCAAGAATTTTTGTCACCATTAATGCTATGACAGAATCGACTCTCCAATTGTCACTTCTAATTAATGTTCTTGACACGTGTCATATTTTTATTGGTTCTGCAATTCTACAGCACTTTTTAAGGCTTTTTTATGATTTCACTGTATACGAAGCGACAGTTGTCATTATGACCCTTCCATCATTACACCTTTTCCTTTGACGGTTGCTTCTTAGTATAATTATAACTTCTTTCTTTGTCTTTACCACATAAAGTCTTCTGAACATTTAATTTCTCAAATCTTTGTTTGCTTCTTCCTCGTATCATCATGTCTTCACCAAACCCTAACCCTAGTAAGGTCGCCATAGTTGATAACTTCCCTAACGCTCCCAGTAGGAGCAGAAGAGGAGGTAAACTCCGTAATTTAGGATCTTCATCTGCACGCGGCTCTTCTGTTCCTTCTCCTAGTTCTGGTCCTTCTTCTAGAACTAGGGGTTCACTTTCACAAAGATCTTCTTCAAGAGGTAAAGAACCTTCTGAACCTCTTCGTGAGCCTACAGTAGAGGAAATAGTTCCTTTGGAACTATCTTTTCATCATGACAGAGAATCTCTTAGGAACCAAGTCTCTAGTTTAGATCGTGCTGATATCTTCCCCACTCAAATTACAGAAGTTTTGATTCATGTAGTTCGTGGAGATTGCCATTGGAGTAATGACTTTCCTATTATTATCCCCAATCCAAACCAAAGAATTACCTCTTACATAACTGGGTATTCTTTTGTTTATACATACCCTTTCACCTTAGGGTTTAAGCCGGCTATTGACCCTGATATTCTTGAGTTTTGTCGTTTCTTTGATGTCTGTTTGGGTCAGATTGGCCCAATCGTATGGAGGGTTGTTGCCTGTTTGAGGCACTTGTCAAACACAACTGGTGTTCCCTTTACCTTCCCTCATTTGATTCACCTTTATTCCCCTAGGCTTTTCTGCAATGGTGTTTTCACACTAGTAGCCAGGAGTAAGAGAGTTTTGGTGAGCCCTGAGGATGACAAAGACCGTGGGTGGTATGCCAGGTTTGTTGCTGCCTCCACTGTTGGTTTAGTGGGTGAAGATAATGTTCCTTCCCTGAGAAGTGGAATTTTGTACGTAAGTCTTTCTAACTTTCTCGTGCCTTTTTTCTTCAAGTTTGTCAATTTTTCTAATTTTGCCTCTTTTTTTTTTAGCAACCATGGGAGTTGTGGAAAGTGTTCCCAATTTCCGTGATTGGGTAGACAAGTTACTAAAGACTGCACCAATGGATGGTAGGTCTTGGAAGACACTTTCTAACCGATTTGGCTGGAAAGTAAAAACTCATGGTAAGAGTTTTCGTATTATTTTATTTTCCATATAAAGTTTTTCTAATTTCAATCCTTCTTTTTATCAGGATTTGCTATTCGGGGAGTTACTGCCGAGGCGGTTGCGGCTTCCCGCATCTCTTCAGGAACCCGTATCTCTTTAGAGAGGGCTCAAGAAATAGTCTTGGGTTCTTCATCAAAGAGAAAAGTTGTTGAAGAAGAAGATTCTGAAGAAGAGGAAGACGGGGGCTCTTTGGTGAGAAGACCTCGAGCTCGAAGACGCATCATTTCTGATGATGAAGCTGAAGCATCCCCCCGCCATTCTATTCCTTTTACCGAGCCTGCTGAGGCCCCGGTGGTGATTCCCATATCTGATGATGACGCTGCTCCCGCTGCTGCTTATGATTCAGTTGAGCAGCTTTTTATTAGCGGGTTTGGTAATGAAAGCTTGGGCCCAGTTTCTGATGAAGCTCTCCTGGCTTCTTTTTCTACTCCCGTGTCTGTGATTCCTTCTTTGCCGGTCTCGGCTGTTTCTGCTCCTCCCCAGGCTGCTGTCTTTACTACTTCTACCGTTCCTCCTTCGACAACTCCCCCTCTGATTTCTCACCATGTAGAGGTTGGCTCCTCAAGTGGAAGTGGTGCCATGAGGCAAGTGATTATTGAAGTCCCCGCTAAGGGTAATCTTCTAAGGAAATTAGGTCAGGCGGGCGTATGGGTAAAGCCCTTAATTGGTCCGATTGAGAAGGCTAAGTTGGAGAGACATAGTTCCTTGACGTTGATGAATGATATTGTGCATGCGACTTTGAAGGTATTCATCTTCTCTCTCTTTTTCCTTTACTTCATAGTTTTTCTATCTTTGGGATTCTTATTTCTCTTCTTTTTTTTAGGCCAATCTTATCGGCACAGAGATGATGGAAAGTGTTACCTCCTCAGAGAAGATTGCACGTGATTCTCAGCTAGAAGCATTCAATTGGAAGGAACAGTACGAAATCTTGCAAATTGATATGGAATATTTGGAAGAGAGTAAGAGTACCTTGGAGCAGCAGGTTCGAGCCTTGACTTCGGAATTGGGGTTTGTAAAGGCTTCTTTGAGTCAAGTAGATAAAGAAAGAGCTAATCTTGAAACTTCCTTCTCAGAGCAGCTATCCAAGGCTAGTGAAGAGAACAGAGAGTTAAAGGTTCTCTTAAGTGAAAAAGAAGCTTACGCCGGGGAGCTCGTGCAGAATTTGACACAAGCACAAGAAGTCCTTCGAGTTTCTTCTGATAAGGTTTGTGTTTTGGAAAACTCCCATGCCTCTCTTCAAGCCTCCTACACATCCGCCTTAGCTGAAAATGAGAAGTTGAAGAGCGAGATTGCTGACTGGAAAAGGGATTACGAGATCCTTGAGGATAAGTCTGCTATGGAAGTAAGTTGGGCATTTTTGAATTCACGCCGTGATACCCTAATTGAAGCTGGCCAAGAAAATATCAACTTAGAGTCTGAGTTGGCTAAGATCAATAAAACTATTGAGAAAGCTGAGCAAACTCAAGATTTTCCTTCTCCCGTGGCTGAAGCTTCCGTGAATGTCGAAGTTGATACGGGTATCCCAACTCTTTCAAGCCCAGTCGAGCATGTTGCTGCAAGCCAAGTTGATCCTACTATTGTAAGCCAAGTTGATCCCGCTGCTGTTGATGCACCTTTTTCAGTTCCCTCATCTTCCTAGTGATAAGTTTAAGTTGTTTGAATTCTCTTCTTCTTTTTTTTCCTTCAGGTACCTTTTTGGAAGGTTATGTTTAAAACCCTCGGTTTCATTTGAGGGTTTGCTTTTAAAAACTTAAGTCCCCAGACCTTTTGTGGGGCAGTAATGTATAAACAATTTGCAATTCCTACGACTAAGTTCTTACTTAGTCTTGAGCTTTTTAATATTTTAGAAGTTTTCTCATTATTATCTTGAACTTCTATTTAATTTATTCTTGCTTTTACTGCTAAGGACTTATAGAATAATCTGCATTTTTATTCTTAGAAAATGCTTCTGTTAACTTCATGAATAACTAAATTAATCATGAATTTTATAAAAGAGTTCCCTTTTATATTCAACACTTAATGAAGAAGACGTCTCAACTTTATAATGGTGTTTAACATACGATAAAAGAAATAGGAATACACATGTTTCTTAAAATAACTTTGACAAGTTTTTATTTGAACTTTGTCTAGTTTTGAATAACACTTTACATGTATTTGAATTACATCTAAAACTTTCTCGTAACTGTTTTTCTTGTAACAGGTTTAAAAAATAATAAACACGTGGTTTTTATTTATAACCCGTTTCAGTACATAGCCTTTACCCTAACTATAATGAGGTTTTCTTTGGCCTTAGCTCGTGACTTCTGCACTTGTCTTTTTCAATGAGTGAACTTTTCAGGCTTAATCTTCGATTTTTCTCAATCTTCTTTGCCTTTATACACATGCCCGTGTATATTATGTAGTCCCCCAAGTGTTCGAGTGTTGAAGTATGAAGCCTTGAGCACTTGATTATTCCTCTCATTTGGTCCTTTCCCTGTAAAAGAAAAAACACACGGGACTCGGAGGTGCGATTATAGATGAAGACTGCTTAACCTGTTTATATTTCTATCAGAATATTTGTAACCCTGGGCCGGGAAGTTTAATATTTTCCACGTGCCTTGCAGGTCGTGACTCATCATTTAGTACGGGCTAGCTTTTTGCCTATCATCTAAAATCCTTAGTAAAATTTTAACAATTCAAAAATAAAATTTTGAAACAAAGATACCTGACCGTGGGTATTTGCTATAAGTAATATCTCTTCAAATGAATAGCATTCCAATATGAAGGTAATATTTTGCCATCCATTGTTTCCAATTCATATGCTCCTTTACCTGCAATATCATGAATTCTATAGGGTCTTTCCCATGTTGGACTTAATTTTCCTGCGTTAGC